GGGGACTTGCTGGACATAACATGGGGTACAAGCGCAATCCCCATTACATTTTTCGTTTTATTGCATTTATTTTAGGAGGTAATCGCATGCCATTAGCTTGCAATAAACCAGTGGGAGCATAGGGCTTACGTTTACGAGTTTTACAACTCAATCACCCACCAAACAATTCTAAAAATAACTATGGTTCGCTCCTTCTTCCTCTTTGCAACGTCCACGACCAGTTTATAAAGATTGCTTACTTTGAATCCTGAGTAAGACTTTCTTTCTTGGAAATAAAGATCTTCCTTCAACACCTGGAGTTACCTGTAGAGGATAGCTGACTCAAGTCTCTACCAGCAGGAAAGGGAGCTTTCAGCGATCAATTAGTTTACATGTGAATTTTTGATTTGTTTCCTAATGATGAATTGTCTTAGCTGGATGAGTAGTAAGGGGTTTGATGGCGCGAGAGATAATCTTACCAGGTGTGGTTCTGTGAGCCAGTCTAGACGCATGATCGATTTCATTGTATACCTCCATGTTTAAATCTTGTTATATAGTTGTTATTGTCCTCTTGCACATACTCATGTTCCCCTTAAGATGGAGCGTGTGCCCTGGAGTTAGGTGTCACAACGGTAATCTCATAGTAATTTTTTTTTTCGTTTGGCGATTACACAGTTTTATCCGGTGCTTTGTGAACGTTTCATTCCTTCTAATTGTACATTATTTTCTGGGTGTTATGCAGTACACTTCTCTATATAGTTTAGGCTGTGAACCATTTCGTCTGTGAGGATGCCAACCACCTCACAATCGCATAACGAGTATTTGCACATGTTTCCTTTTTGACCATGCTCTGTGTGCCTGGATCCAGTGTAGCTTAGTTGTGTGGTTTGGTCTCTGCCTCTTTTGGTGTCTCTGTGGTTAGTCCGGTTGTGCTAATGGTGTATAAGATTGCTGTTCACGGCTGTTTCTTCGAAGTATACACTATTTTCCATGGCTGTAAGGTCTAGTGCAGAGCCTTCTACATAACTGAATATCACTGACGGCAGCTGCTATGCAGTGCTGCCATATTCCATTTTGGTTCACAACAGTCCTGCTATTGGGTCCTCTGGTGGCGTTTCTCGCCGCTTGGCCGTACTGCCCCTGTGATGCATTTTTGGGGTTCTTTTCAATTAAGTTTATTGCTACGGCGTTCGATGTTCTATACACAAGCCTTTTCCCAACATTTCTCCTTAATTCCATGATTTTCCCATGCCTTAAAACTTTCAAATCTGTTACCCTCATGAATCTTCAATTTTTTCGGTGATGGGGAGAGGGGCTTAGATTCTGGTTTTTCCAGTTAACTACGATGCTGACTTCCTAACTTCCCACAACCAATTTTTATTGAAGAGGAAATTTAGTTTTTACCCAGTGTATTTTCACTCTTTTGGTGAAAAGATCGAGAAAGGATTAGAAGGATTGGGTTTCTTCATATCTGGTGTCTCCTGTTTTCCATCACAAGATTCGTTTCTCTGTTTTTGTTGCCAAGTTTCTTCCATGGCTCCCCCCCTGTGTTTTAGGTTGACATATCTAAATCTTGAAGTTCCTTGTAAATTCGATTACAAACAAACCCTATTATATATTTACTTCCGTGAATATGACGTTAAAAGATTCATTTAGGATTTTATTAATTATTACCTGGTGATCTATTTATCTGAGTTTTGAAAAGAATGAGGACCATGACAAATATATGATATTTACCATTGAATGATATCTGTGAGATGATTTTAATAACTGAATTATAACTTAATGGGGGACAACTTTTCGCATGAAAATTAGTAAATACTACTCATTGGTGAACTCAGTATACAGTACTCTACTCCGAAACTGATCTACATAACCTTTTAACAAACTGTTTGATTTATGAGAATCAAGGCAAAAAAAGTATTCTTTCCAACTATTACCCATACATTGCAATTCCTTTTTCAGTGGTTTTCAATAGTCCTTCCTATACAAGATCTTCAAAAAGCCTCCTAGGTCAGTCCATTCTAGATCTTGATTTTCTTTGGTTCAAATTGTGAAAAGGTATTATATTTCTGATTTTGATTCCAAGCAGCTAACTGTGTTCCCCGGTTAATAACAAAGAGCCCTTATTACTTTGTTAAAACCAAGTTGGATTTTTTGAAAACTGAAGGACCTTTAACCATCTTAGTTTATCAATGTGATAGTGTTTCTTCTCTCAATATACTTGCGGTATGACACATCTATAATGAACAGTCCGGTAAAGTATAGTGTGAATGATGCACAAGCCTAGTGTGATTCTTTAAAGACGAGTGGACTGGTCACGAGCAAACTGAGTTACTATAACGGCTTTGGAACTCCCTCCTTCTCCACATGATTCATTCACCATTTTGGATATGCCCTCTGGAATGGTTTCCTTTTCTTTCTATCTAACTTTCTAGACCTAAGCGACTTCCATTTCCGTTTGCTTGAACAGAAGTGGTGGAAATAGTGGAGGCAAACCCTTGTCCCTCTTAACACTCTATTTCATGGACAGCTTTCCAATTCAAACTTACCAAGAAAACTCGGTACTTGCCCTTGCTGGTTTGCGGAAGGTTTTTATTCCGACTCAACTTCGTACAGCCCGGTGCCTTTTCTTTGTGGTCTCAATTGAGCTAGGAGCAGTGATGCTCGTGGGAATGTGGAGAGGGATACCTATTGCCATAACTAGAATTTAGATTTGTTCCAAATTGGGAATAGCTTCTTGATTGGCCTGATGGCGGTATGTCTGTTATGCAGCAGACAAAGTGGCGTTGGCACCGGGTAGCTGCACAGTGCGGGATATCATGTTTTCCCCAGCCCCAAGACGGCGAATTAATGGTCAAGCAGCACCTGATGTGGTCAATCTAGGAGGGCCGCAGTAGGCTTGGCGGGCGTGAGGCTTCCTGGGCGTCTCTGTACAATTCACGTATCTGTCTTGGGTGTGATTTCGTTCTTTGCTTCTATAGCGGAATCGCTGTCGGTGGCCTCGGGCAGAGCTGGCATACCCGACATTTGCATCCAAGGGATTGCGAGTGAGATGATTAAGTCTTGGTCTTGACAGAGTGCCTTTGTCTAGGTTGCCAAGCGTAGTTATGTGCTGTGAAGAGGGCACCCCATCAGCTGTTTGTGTTAGCAGTGGGAAAGATGACCCTGTATTTGGTATTTGTTGACAGGGCGAGCTTCTGCTCTAGTTCTCTTTTTTGTGCTAATATAGAGGTTTTGCGTACGAAGATATTTTGGCTCTTGGCATGTGACCGATTTTCCATCAGACCATCAGTCCGGAGGTTGTTGGGATTTGTTGCGTATTTTGTCTGTTTCTCGTTTGTCTGTTCCCTAATGCTCTGTCAGAGCGCATGTGTGGGTTAAGTGCGTGTCCAGAGTGAGATCCTCACTAATATGGCTAGGCCCTTTTATGTGTGCGCCCTGTGAAATGACTGCGGAAACAGCGTGGAGGAAGACGGAGGTACGGTGGGTGGCTCTCTTAAGCTTGTCTGAAGGCATCTTTTTCGAGTCTCATGTCCTATTAGATTAAAGGGAAAGTAGATGTGTTTTGCCCTGTTGGAGGCAAGTTGCCTATTATGTAATCTGCACAACCAACAAACAGCCTATGTTTCTCTCTTCTCGATAGATTGAGGGCCCACAGGAAATTACCCACCAGGCATGACGGGCAGGGCTGCAGCCTCCTGTGGCTCGGGTGAGGCCTCCCTCCCGCCCTGGTACATTCATCTGTCGCAGAACCAATGGTAATCCTGGGGCTGGACATCTTCTTTACTCTGCTCTTTCAATGTCTTCACCTCTGCAGTCTTCACATGGACTCCGATGCTCAATTCCCAGTGCCTAGAAATGGTCCGTCCGCGGTAACTCAGCCACGCAAGTTTATTTTCCTAATGACCTCAGGAGGTGTTTTAAGTAAAAGTATTTGTTTTTCTTTGTATTATATGTAATTCACGTAGTATCCAGGTTACAAGAAGTGGGATAGGAGGCAGGAGAGGCTCTGGCTCCAGAGCTTGCACAACATCCCCAGGCAGTGCAGGCCCCTCTCCAGGCCTGAGGGGTGCGCGTGCCCAGAGCACGGGTCTCAGCCGAGAATCACCCCACCGAAGGCCACCAGGGACCCTGTCCCCGAGCTTCCAGCGTGGGTGTCTCTCTGACTGCATCTGCTCTTCTCACAGCACAGCGCAGGCGCAGGGGAGCCGAGAAACTTTCCTGGCTCTCTCCAGGGCTCAGCAGGCAGCACGGGCCTGCCCTTCCTGGCTTTGGTTGCCTCTCCCAGAGCTCAGCCTCGGCCTGGACCATGCTTGAGAGGTAGTGCTGGCTCGAGAAAACCAGGTCTGCAGGACACTTATCGCTGTAGCCGCCCAACCACTCTCAGAAAGAGCTTCACCTCCACCACTGAGCCACATAGCCGCTCTGCTATGTGATTAGACCGCCTCTCCTGCCCCTTTGGGTTGCAGCGCCTTGGAAACTGATGCGGACTTGTGAGATGGAGCCACTAAGGTGAGAACCCTGGAGGGACCTGTCAGCAGCTCTCTCCCCACGGTGGCCAGCCAGCTCATAACCCAGCAGCGTTGCCCCGACTCTAGAAATACTGATTGAGGGCCTTGCCAAAGACGCCCGCTCAAGGCATGGGCAAGGGTCTGAGGGACAGAACGCTCAGCTATCGCTGCGTGGAGGTGGCTTCCACTGCTCGGGGCAATACCAGGCAGGAGGCAAAAGGGCAAGACTCCAGTCTCATTTTCTTGCATCCTGCAGTGGGCAAGGAGCCAGACCTGCGCCCGATTCCTTCTTGGCCACCCCTGGGTTCTCAGGGGGAGCACCCCTGGTAACCCACAGGCAGTGAGCCCAGAGTCTCAGGAGCCAGGGT